AAAAAATTGATATCAGTTGGCATTGTTATTTTTGCTCAGATATTTTAAGTGTTAGTAGTGAAACGTATTAATAAATATTTATGTATTTTATTTTTTCCATTATTATTATTAGCTAATAGAAAAGTAATTTGCATAGTGAATTGTAATAAATTTGTTGAAAATAGAACATAATTATCATATAATCATAAATTGAGTATTTTCTGACTTGTCACCCTGACTCGAGCTGGTTGACGAGCCTAAAGGTGAAATTAGCTGGCGTGAGCTGAAAAATTTTGTTGAAAGCCAATCATTGACCTCCGACGAGCCTGAGAACCAACCAATCCGACTTTCCACACCTCCGCACAACTAGCGAGAAGAAGCTCGTCTCTTCCGGCGCACCTTCCATGCCCACGACAATACCGTCGCGCTCTTTGTCCAGATTATGACCTACCATAGTGATTCACGACGGTTCACGGACGTTCGTCCAGACTGGGTAGACTGTATCTGTCTGTCGGCAACGACTGGTTGCTGGTGGGCGCTACAAGGTGGAGTTGGGCTGCACGTGGTTTTCGGCGAAGGGTTAGCGCAAATTACAAAAGCTAGCCGAATTTTTTGGTTGGGGGGCTTTCTTTTGAAAATTAGATAAGTCTTGGGAACTTATCTGCAATTTAAAACTTTTAACATATTGCAATTTAGTTCTTGAGCCAAATCTTTAATTTATAAAAAAATTAATAAATAAATAATAATGATAAGTGAAATGTAAAATATGATTTGTGTATATGCACATTAAAAATATCAGTGTTGCAAAATGCACAATAGTGTTATACTTAATGCATAACGAGAATGCACATTAGCGTATGAGTATATTCTACAAAATGACAAAAATAACCCTGTGTGAAAAATTAAAAGTACACATAATTACAACAATGCCATCGCCCATTTGACCGTGCCTGAAGCGTTGGTATATCATATCCGACCGTTACAATCAATTCATTCTTATTTCTTTTACAATCACTCATTCTCATATGACCCTACTTTTATACACACACATGAAAGTGGAGTTAATGATGTAATATAATATATTCTTTTCCTCAAAGTTTATTATAGAAAGCTATTTTTTTAATTACATTTATATATAACATAAATGTGATTTATTTTGTTAAATTTTATTTCATTAAATTGATACTATTATTATATAGTTGATTGTTTTCTTATTGTGAAGTTGAAATATTAGTTTGATTTTTTTTTTTCCCGAAACGATAGATAATTTTATAAATCAAAATGCACAAATGTGCGAATATACAGCAGCCAACGGCTGAATACACAGCAGCCAACAGCTGAAAAAGTGGGAGGACAGGTCAGAAGCCCGCCTAGAATCCCGACTAGCAACGCTAGAATAAAAAAACACACTCACAACTAAACTAACCAACAATACAAACAACTAGAACAACTACAAGGACCCCAACAGGGTAATACCCGAGTGTCGGGCCCCAATAGGGTAATAAAGTTGACACTCGGGCTCACAGGGGCCAACGACCCAAACCAAAAACACAGGACATCGACACACAGGCAAAACGCCCAAACCAAAATACAAACCTACCACAAAACAATATAAAGAAAAAAACACACAGCCCTTCCACGACAAAACAGCCGAGCCTAACCAGCGGAGAACAGTCGATTTCAGAGAATAGTCCAAGTTCCAGGAACGGCTCCCGAAACTGCCACAAGGCCTATACAAAAAGTCGAACCCGAACACAAACTAAACTCCGAAACAAACCCACCTCAACCGAAGGGACAACCGAACCCACTCCCACTCTAGCACTTTCCGAGCCCGCCTAACACCACTAGCCGAGCTAAAGAACGCCAAAACCCCGCCGTCTAACACCACTAGACGGAAGGGAGGGGGGGTTCAAGCCCTTAGCCCCGACACACAAGCAGAGCTCCACCCCGCCTCACAACCCACAAACCCATCAGCATCACCGCACACCACCGGCAACAGCACCCGAAAGATAGAATCCCGAACGGGGCATCACCGGAAAAAAGGAATCGCCCGAGCCCTCCATTCGCACAAATACAGAGCAAACCAATAGAAACCAGAAATTGAAGTGGAACTCACCTCCAATCGAGACCGGGATACACCAATTGCAGTCCAATTGACGACCCAAGAGCCTGCCTCTACCAATCGCTCCGACTCCGACGAACTAGGGTTAGGGAGACCTTCGAACGCAAGCACATCGCGGAAACACCATAGGTTCAGATTTGTAGAGGAGGGACGCGGTCAAACGCGACCACCGGCCGGCGCCGCACCGTCACCGAGGAAGGCGACTCGATTCAGAAGAGAGAGAGCTGTGTCGGGCTGTTTTTTCGCGAGAGAAGAAGAGAGCTGACCTACCTGAAATGTTAGTTTGATTTGTTCTGCTACATTGTATTTTATTATTATTATTATAAGTAATAATTAAAAATAGAAATACACGTTAGTGTAACAATGATAACTTGTTTAATTTGTTTTTTTTTTTTTTTTTTTT